TTCATTCATTCCTTCTTTCATTTGGGATAATTGGGAGCAGTACTAGTTCAAATCAATCATTTTGTTTTCAAAAAGGTTCTCATTGGTAGAAAGCTTCTTTCCAACACCACTATATACACAGCATCACTTTTTTTTTTTTTTTTTTTGAGGAAGACTAGCCTTTAGTACAGTTAATGGGGGTTCTTTTTTGCTTGGCTCATGATCTCTTGCATTCCATGTTGTAAAATATCCACTTTTAATTCACACATCACAATTTGTTTCAAGATTGAATGAATTTTATATCCCAGTAGGCTCTTTTCACTTTACTGAACATCACATATGAAAGTGTATATATATATATATATATATATATATAAAGAATAGAAAACAATATGAAAGTCACTGACGCAAAAACATTGCTAGTGCAAATGATTTTCAATGGTTGATTTGGATATTTTGAATATGTTGGCTCTCTTCCACATTATATAAAATTGGTTATTCCCAAGTAATGTCTTTGTTAATATCAACTGGTCTCCCCAACTACAGAGTGCATCGTTCAGCAAGAAATCTTCAGCACAAAGTTTCACGAATCACTTTTAACACCTTCACAGTACCTTCTCCGTAAACTGCAAAAATAATTTTTATTTGATGTGTATTTTCACTTTTTTAAAAAAATGTTACTTCCCTTTCAATGTTAGAAACAATAAGCAAAAGACAATTCTGGCAAAATGTCTCTTAAATGCACACTAATGACAACTGTCACAATACAATCAAAAGCAATGTTTTTGAATGAAGGTGGTTTAAACTAAAAACACTTAATGCCTTTAATAACAGAAACAACAAACAATCTTTTTAGATTTGTCCTTAGTTCAAATGGCCATTGAACATTGAGTTAATTCATTTTATTGGATCTTTGAACTGGGCTTGTATATACATTTCTTTCATATTCTTCTTACAACCATTGAGGTTATTTTTATGCTAATTCTCTTGGAGAAATCCTGTGGCCAGTCCTCCTTTAGTTTAACCTGGTTACTGATCATTAAAGTTTTATCTCTAACATATAATAAACACTTCATGAGAAGAGATTAAGAGCAATCAAATTGCTCAATAATTACTTGCCCAAGTAATAGTGATATATAGCTGCTATATCTATTGTCAATGTTGATTGCACTACAAGATATTAATTAGCTAAATGTACTTTGCAAGGAAGATGAATATTTTTAGAAATTATTTACTACTTTCTTTTCAAGATGAAATATTTTCATTCTAAATTTTGACTTCAGCTTGAAATTCAAATATTTTACTACTATTAGTAGTAGTAGTATTAGAGAAACAATATTAGGTATTTGGTCAATCCAAATTTGATTTAATCTGGTACTTGAAGAAATACACTTTTCATGTATATATGTTATATCCAAGAACAAAAATGTATTCCCTTAGGCAAACAGATCTGCATGTTTATTGTACTGTCTCTGTCAGTATTCACTTACAACTAGCAATAAAAGGAATAGATGAGGATTTTGATACATTCCTCTTCATTAGTCATAAGTGAAAGTAAAGAGAAAGTAAACAGGTACATTTTTTATGCAGCAAAAGGGAATTCACCATTTTTCACACATCTTGTCCTTTTCTTGACTCTTATGAAACAGAAAAAATGTTATGACCAAAGTTTTACCTGGATGGATTTTAAACACATCTTTTTAATAAAATTAATTAATATCATTAAATGTGTGTTACTTTGGATTTTTTAGCAGCCAATTGATTATAGGATAATAACAACCAATTATTCTGAGTTATTGCCTGAATTTCAACCAAAAACCTCTTCATTAGTGAACTGAATGATTCAGTATAAAAAAAAAACAGTTCTTTAAAATGTATTACATGAAACACAACTGTCATTGTAAGAGGCTGGAAATGAATAGTCTGATGGGTTCTATAATGTCCAGGGCAAAAATCTTTGAATGTGTTTTGTTTTTACCTCTTACTCTAGAGACAATGAATTAGAGAATACTTTTTAAGATGTTAGTGAGAAATGTAATCTATTTGTAATGACTCTGGTAGTTTTAGGGTCATTCTATATGTTCCTCCATCCATCTTCAGATATGTTTCACAACTTGCATCCAGGATAAAGCTCAGGTTTCATGTAAGATTTTCTGTTTGAATAAATTGCCTGGTAAGTCAGGCCTTGTCATTAATATCAGGTTTGTGTTAACATTTGTTTCTGTGTCTCCATCAGAGTCAACTTCTCCATTTTAATATAAAATTCACTTCTAAATTCAATTTTAATATAAAAAGCACACATTTAAAAGCTCCATCTATTTAACAAAATATTTTGGATATTACATGACCGAAAAAAAATATGTACATTCCTTTTTATAAATTTTATTACTAGCTTTACAATATTTCATCTTATTACTGTTACTTTTTATTACAACACTGGTTTATTAAAAATGTTATTGATTATAAGAGTAAACAAATTGAAATAAAAAAGCAACACTTTTTTGACAAGACTTGAGCTTGTGTCCAAGTTTGCAGAAGAATAGTTTTCAAGAACATTGTCTTAACTATTTCAACTACAAAATTGCCTATGATTAAATGTAGTAGAAAATATGAAGTCAGTCTGCAACAACAATGGATTCCAAATAAAACCTTCAAATTCTCTAAGGGAATTGGTTTTAATATGATAAGGTAGGAGGGATGGTCATGCAGGATGACAGTTAAAACTACCTCTTTTTTATGGTATTGAATTTTGGACAGGGTAGGACTCAAAATTAATGTTATCCCATGAACAATAAAATGGTAGTTTGGGATGAATGGTTAGGTTCTTTGGAACAATACAAATTTTTTAATTAAAACTATTTATTCTAAAAGCAATTTCTTAAAATAAAAATTCTTGCTTCTCACCATCAGTAGTAATCTTTTATTTAAGCGGGGGGCAACACTTTTTTAAACTGGTGAATAAAACTAGGTTGAAGAAATGAAATTCAGATATATATTATTATTTATCTCAAAATGTGAAAACCATCAAGATCTAATTGTAAGAAATAATTTTGCTTTGATAAAGCAAGAAAATAATTTTTTCTGTCCGTTGCATGAACCATTAACAAACATTTATTAATTTTATATTTTCTGCTTACCATAAACTACATTGAAAATGCAATAGAGAATAGTTTTTGAAAATAAGTTAATCTGAGCATGAAAATTAATTAATAAGAACATTTCTGTGTAAAATTATTCAAGGCAATTTAACTGAAATGTTTAAATAAAAATTATAGTAAAATTTAACTAATTTGTTTTAGTATTCATTTTTAAAACTTGACTATTTTATTTTTTTATATTTCTTAAAAGTTTTTATGGTTTTTGTATTATGCTATTAATTACTATTAATGATAATAGTTAGAAATGCCTTTATGATTTTGGGACAATTTATAATTTTTCAGGACATTTATGGGACAATGATGAAAAATTTAGTTGGGTCATCTGGGGTGGGGAAATGTGCAAAAAGGCATGATTTCATTTAATACATATTGGAATTAACTGTAAAACAAAACAAAAAAAAAGAACTAATTAAGGATGTTAATTATTTTCAAGTAAATAGATAAGTTGAGGGTTTTTAAGGACTCAAGCTTGAATATTAATTAGATGATCAAGTATAACTGGATATGACCCAGTACCCACCTCATCACACTTTCCAAGTTGGGCGAAAATGACAATGTACTAAATTCCTTCCTCAGATAAAATAAAAAAATCTCTAAAACCCCTTGAGATTAAGTTGTTTTCAGAAAGACCTATCCATTGGATTGGTTGGAATTCTTGGGTAGAATAATTTGAAGAAGTGGTTTTTCTGAAAAACTTGTTCAAGCTGACTTGCAGGTTGTGTGGTTTGTTTATATAAAGATATACTCACTGGTGGTTTCATAGGAAGAATATTTTTCAGGAATTAGGTTATCTAAATTTGGTCAAGTGGCAAACTGGCCATGTACTTTCTGAACAATGGAGACATTTGAAAGAGCATTAATTAATGGTGGAATCTTACAAAAAGAGAACAGGCATTTGACTTGTTCTGTCATCTTCATAGTTATAAATGAGTCATTCAGAGTTCAGATTACTGCATATCACTGTCAAGCAGGGAGAGAATGTTCCTATTGAAAAGCTGTCTTGTTAAAATTTTTCTACAGATTTTCATTGTCACTCCAAGACTTTGACCAATCTAGGCAATCCATCAACTTTAGTGACAGGTAAGACGTGATATTTAAACTCCGAGCTTGGGGCTATTTCAGATTTTATCTAAATGTCTTCCATTTTGAACATTTTACAGTGCGGTGACCAGAGTAACTGCTAGATACTCCTTGCTATGTTTATTAACTGGAACAACAGATCCACTTCTGACCACAGTGTTACATTACTTACAGAAAGTAATAATAGGATCATAATGAAATGATTATTATAGTTTTGTGGTAGTAGAAGTTTCAGGCACTCTAATAGAATTGGCTTTAACTAAGATATAGAATACCTTTTTTCTTTTTTTTTTTCTTTTTTTAGATAAAAAACAACAAAGTTGATTTTTTTTTATAACTAACAACAGAAAATTATAATACAATTTAGATTTAATAAAAATTCTCAGAACTTTGGAAAATTGTAAAAGCAAATTTGTGCTATTTGTTCATTAAAACCTTTTATGAAATGATTCAATAAGGAGTGAAATTAACTCTGAAAAAGAAAATGAATAATTCTTGGACTGGGTTAATATTCAATTTATAATCAATAAATTGTTGCTATTTTGTTAATATTTTATATCCTGGAAGTGAATAATTTATCAAAATGTATTTTTCTATTAATTAAGCTGGTCTTGTTTTAAAGAATTATTTTAAATCCTAAAAAATGTTTTAAATTTTAGATAAGAAGCAAGAATTGCATTCTATACATTGGTTTATAATTTCAATGAATTTCAATTGAGATGAAAAAAAAATTGAATTTTTTTTTTTTTTTTTTTTTCTCATCTGCCTATTTATTTTCCGCAGGTCTTGCAGACAGCAATGAAGACTGTAAAAGATTCATGAACCGGTGTATGCCAGAAGCATTTAAAAAGGTACCAACACTTTGGTTTCTTTTTCAAATTAACGCCTGCTTTATTCAAGGCAAATGTTTAATTGTATTTCTTCTATTCCACTTCAAACCATGGCGGCTCTTCTAAATTTTCATTCAAAACTTTACCTATTACAAAATATTTGCAAATTATTTTCAGCAACTAAGTAATATTATTGCTGCATTTTACACTGAATCTACTTTAGATTGTGCACCCCCCCCCTTTTAGTTGGGGGGGATAACTTGATGTAATGATGATATTTCTAATTATAATTGTTATATAATTTTCTTGAAAGTATTAACATTTGCATCTCATCATCATCATGGTTAAAGGAGATTTTATTTTTTATATATATATATAATTATTATTAATTAAAGAATATCAAACACTTAAAACACCCATAGATAATTTTTATTTCATGTGAGCTCTAAAAAAAGCAGCTCTCATTCTTCAAGACCTACCTCTTTGTGGGTCTTGAAGATTGAAAGCTGCTGTTTTTAGAGCTCTCATGAAATTATTACCTATGGGATTTTAAGTGTTTGATAGTCTTTAATTAATAATACTTTTGCTCTGTCTTTTGACATAGAGCTCTCACTGGATCTATAATCATCCTGGAAATTCCATGCAGATTACCATATTGTATCATTACTATATATATATATATATATATATATATAAACTGTGTATTCATCCAAATGAGTTCTGTTAAATTCCATTGACAAGGTCTGTTTAGTTATTTTTAATATATTTTTCCAATTTCTTAATGTTGTATATCAGGATTAAAACTATGAATAAGCTGTTTTTGATGGCTAATAGTTGAAAGTGCATGAACAAAACAAGAAAAAAATTTGAACTACATGCATTGATTGATATTGTAAGATTTTACTTTGCAATGCACATGCTCGCTGTAGCCTGAAGGGGCACCTCAATGATGACTAACAAATGGTAATACTCTGGAATTGTTTCAAATCAACTGCTGGATGCTACTAATGATTCAATTGCAACTCTTGCATGTAGGTCTTGTAGCAAACAATGTGAGTCATTGGCTGAGGAAAAAGGACCTTGATTAGTGTCATGTGATGGCTATACTAAATTATGAAAGGGCAGTCATTATATAGAAGGTGGGATGAATAAATTATTGTCTAAAGGATGCAAAAATGAAAATAACATCAACATCTCATTTTAACTGATACATTTACCTAAATTGAGTAAATTTATTCAATAAAATTGCCTTTGGCTTCAACCACAACCTCTAGATGACTTTGAAATCTCCTGGAACTCTTCTGGAAGTTGTTGAATGCTGCCATTATGCTTGCCTTCAGTTCATCTTTGGTTTACAAGGAATTTTGTTGGTCTTTTGCTCACCTATGCCCCACACATAATAATCAAGGAGGGGTTTCAGTTTGGGGAGTTAGGTGGCTACATGTAAAGTGTGATGTTACAGAAATTGGTAGCCATGACTAGGTTCTCCTTCTTGTGTGGCATGGTGCAGTCTTGTTGCCAGACATAGGGTCTTCCAGCAGTCACTCTCTTGACTCATGGCTGCACCTGATGTAGGCCTCCATGTTGAGTCTGAGGACCTGTGGGATGATGAATGGAGGAATAATGTCACCGTCACTAGTGATCACTCCAAACACCTTTGTAGTCATTATTAGACTAATCCAATTCTTTCCAAATCTGCACTGTCCTCAGATTGACACCTAAACACTCTGAAACGTTCATATTGGTGCTTCTGGTGTGAATGCACAGCAGTACAGCATGCAGTTTTCAAATTTCTGGTGAAGTGAATTGTGTCATGGTGCTCTTTTTCTCACAGACAGTGCCTAACTGACCCTATTATACTGTGCATTTGACAAAATCAAAAACAAACAATGCACATGTGTGAAATTAAAAGTATAAAATGGCAACAATTTACCCATCACACCCTTTATACTGTTGTGTGATCTGTGCTCTTCAAGAAAGCTAACTCTTCTTGCTTATTATGTTTAAATCTCTTTACACCCTCCTGAAGTGCAGAGATTTACTACTTTGCATAGATTAAGTGCTTCTATTCAAGGCTATCTTTTGTGATTCTTGGTCACACTTATCACTGGCAGTTTGTAAGCCAGTAGTAGATTGAGCATGTTTTCTAAGATTTTGATCCTGTTGTTCTTGATCATTATCATGATAGGAATTAAAGGTACCACCATTAAAACTAAAATCTTCTTCATTCTTGATTGCTTTTTGTGGTTCAATCTTAAATCTGATTTGATTTGCCAAAGTTCTAAATCCATTCCTTGAAATGACAGCTGTATTAAAGTTTCTGGTGATTCAGTATTTTTTATCTACTATCTATATTTCTCATGTTGTCTGTCTGTGTGTCTGTCATGGGCATTGTTACCTCGCCCAGGCCGCATTTCTCACCCGATTTCAATGCGGTTTTCAACACAAGTTTGCAAATGGTTGCCGTAAGGACATGACGGAGCCCGATTTTTGAGTTCAGAATCGGGTTCCGAAAAAATCGATAATCGAAAAAATCGATAATTGAAAAAATTCTGCTTACAGAAGGAATGATCGCATTTCAACCAAATTTGACACCCTCTTAGAGTCTACCATTAGAAGTGTTGTCCAGAAGTTTCATGACCATGGACACCTAAACAGCGCAGAAAATCGATAAAATCCAAAAACCGATGTGCCCAGATTGCGTCTGAACCGCATGTCGGTTTTTAGCAAAAACTGAGCGGATTTATGAAGAGGCCATTAGGAGTCATCATGTGAAGTTTCAACTCTGAGCACCCCCCAAACAGAGTGCAAATCGACAATCAGTCAACCCTTAAAAATGTTTTTTCCGGTTTTTTAAAGCTGATTGTATTGTGTTTATTTTGTTTAGTTCTTTTTTCGTAACAGATTTAATGTTTACTATAGAGCTTAGAAAAAGTTGGCAGTGTGATATAGGCAAGAAGTAAGGCATGTAACAATATCAGCATGGCAAAGGGCACTCCTCTAAAGGCAAGGAAGGGCAAAAATATTTTACGTCAAGTGATAGCGATTGCTGTATTAGTCGTACTATTTTTTAATCAAGCATGGGCCATGCCGAGCCATGCTGTTAGTAATACTATATTTGCTCATTCATAAAATATGACAATGTCAAAAGAGCATGAGTTTAGCATCCCATCAAAACAGATTGAACTTTTTAGCCCATGAGCAAGCAGGATTTGTGGTAATTAAGCAATAAACAAGGTAAAATTAAGTCAAGTTTTTTCTCTTAGGAGAGAATACTATTAATTCCATTTTAACTCTTTGCACCATTCATTCAGTCATCTCACTAGATTGTTGGTGGTATAGAGATGTTTTATGAGGAATTCAGGAACATTGTTGGCCATCAAAACATTTGATATTCCATCCCTAGAAGAAATTTTGAAACTTATAGATAGTGCTTCTTTCTATCTGAACACAAATGATTCCAGCCAAAAGTAATTATTAAAACAAACCTCAATCCAATCCCATTAACATGTACGTAATTTATATGTCTATCCATCTAAGGTTTGAGCTCATTAGGCTATGAATGAAGCCTACTATTTCCAATGTGCTTTCTCTACATGTGTAGGCTATCTATGGATAGACTCTGCTACAGCACATGAGTTCCCATGTCATGCATTAAATGATTACATGTAGCAGAAATATGTTTGTTCTCTGCATGCAGAGATGACCTTGACTTTGAATCACAAGGGGGGGGGGTTGAGGAGAGATGACTAATGAGTTTGATCTTCACTCTGGAAAGTTTGTTGCAGTTGTGACATGGGATGCTGGGGACTGAACCAGACTGAGGCAGAACCCTCTCGATCTTTCTTTTTTCGGCATCTCTGTTCTTCGAACCTGATTCTTTTTTCTTCAAAATTGGATACTCTGAACTGTACAAGGTAGTGCCAGATGGCACAGTCCTCAGCAGACTCTTCCCAGGTGGAATGGGGAATGTCACAATGCATGAGAGACTCCTTCAGCATGTCTTTGTAATGTTTCTTTGGTATACCAAGTGAGCACTTGCCTGTGGATAGCACACCATAGAGCAATCTCTTTGGGAAGCAATGTGGCGGACATGGCCAGCCCACCAGAACTGATAGTGCAGAAGTATGGCATAAATGCTCTCCATCCCAACACGCTGGAGCACTTCAGTGTCTGGGACTCTGTCCTGCCACTTGACATGGAGCAGGGCCCTGAGGTGAGGCATTTAATATGGAAGGCATTGAGCTGTTTAGCATGATGGCTATAGAATGTCCACATCTCTCATGCATAGAACAGGCATGGTAGGATTACTGCACTGTACACTTTGAGCTTGGTGTTAAAGCTCAGTGCTTGTCACTCCTTGACTTTATCCTTCAGTCTGCCAAAGACAGTGCTGATTCTGGCAATTTTGTAGGCCACTTCCTCAACGAGGTTGATGGAGCATGACAGTGTGCTACCAAAGTAAGATGAACTTGTCTGCAACTGCTAGTCTCTGGCCGTTAATGGTAATGCGAGGTTCAATGTAGGGCTCTATGTTAGTCTTCTTAGTAGAAATTGTGTGGCTGAACTCTTTGCAGGCTTTGGAGAATAGGTGCACACTGCCCTGCATGTCAGACTGGGTACTGCATTCAGTGTACAATCATCATTGAACAGGAAGTCACAGGCCATATCTTCATGCACTTTTGTCTTTGCCTGCAATCTCCGAGGGTTGATGAGTTTACCATTCGTACGGTGCTGGAGACATACACTGATGTCTCCATCTTGGAAAGCGTCTGTTAGCATGGCAGAAAATATCATACTGAACAGGGTGGGAGCCAGTATGCTTTACTTCATAGCAGAAATACCACAATGGATATTATCATGAACACATTTTATGATTTTTTTCCTACATATTTCAGTTAGAATAATGAAGTCACTGTTCCAAATGATACAATTTTCTATTGTTAATCTCCTAATGTGGTCTTTCTATATGGGAACAATTACAGAAAACATTTCTTTTTATTCAAAAAGTAATTATGCTG